TTTATAATATTTAGTTAGCTATTCAGTGCACTCTATACGCGTCCGTACTTGACCGCGGCACAACTTGATTAATTATTAATTATTAATTAATCAAGTGTGAACATTTTCCTTTCAAAATACGATATTTCAACTAGTGGCCAGCATCCAATCAATACTGGATGTGCAAGGTGCAAGGTGCCTTCATGAGGTAAGTCCTGGCCCCTCCAAATACATTATTGTAAATCATGGATAATTATTTTTTTTACTTTATCTGTTTACGATGTCAAAAAATTATATTTTCAACTGTATAACATTCATTGGTAAGGGATTCTTTTAATTATTATTGAATTGTATAGGTTTTCAATTCTTCATTGTAATTTGGATGTGATTTAATTATCATGGTGTTTTAATTAACATGGTGTCGGGACCAGACGAAACTAATTTCATTTGGAGAAGGTGATTTAAGGGAAGGGTAAAGGTAATTTAAGTTTCAGTTGTTTCTTTTATCATTCCAAGAGGTGTACAAGCTGTGGGTGCTTCCTGACGAAATACAGGACTGGAGAATGTAGATAGAAGTAAAGGCCTGTATAAGGTAGGATAACCTACCCGTAGCAAAATGCTACGCAAGTCCCGTTTGTGGGCGCTGCGACACTCATTTATTTTTATTATTACTCGTATATTATTGTGTCTACTGTGATGTGAGATTATCAAAAGCATAAATTGAATTTGTGTGCAAATTACATTTCTTTGTCTATTTGTTGTATTATGCTATAGTTTTAAGTTTATAATGTTATAATATGATAGTTTTTAAATTCATTCATGTGTGTCTTGGCGAACACAATAAAGTTTTTATTATTCTTATTCTTTTTTTTATTATTCTAATGGTATATTTTCAATATTATACACTTCCTTTGTGGTTAGTACGAACACATGTGTTTGTCACTAGAAATGATTCGCCACAAAATCACACCATACAATAATATTGAATGCGATGCTCATTATGCACGTATGCATTACACACTTCAAATATTCACTGTGACATATTTTTTAGTATAATGTGATAGTGAACAATTTTAATGTCTAATAATTTAAACCTCAGCCTACCTCTGCTCTTATGTTACACGTAATAATATGAACCCTGTATTAGGGATACGAATAATACAGAGCTCATATGTGTAATATTATTTTAGTTTTAAGACATGTACCATATGAATACAATAAGTATACAGACAATGGCGGTCGTATTTGTATTGTATTGTAATTTTTGTGTGTTGTCCAATACAAAAGTGTGTCTGTTGCGGCCCCATCTACTCCACTCCACTGAAATGGAATCCACACTCCATGTACCAGGTCATGAACCTGCCTTGACTGTTTACGTGAAGCTAAAGGCGACAGCGCCTATAATTTTAAGTAGTTTAAAATGTACAAAATTATTATTTGCTATTAATTTTTTATCAGGCTTTTTTGTGAGTCAAGTGTGACATGTTCCGCCGCATCATTCGGCTTTAACCGTCCATATCCCATTCCCCGTTTTTTATTGAATATAATAAAAGACCGGGTTTTTATTTTCCTGAAACATAAATTGACGACCGTGACAGGAGAGTAGTTCCTAAATAGTTACAAGTCCCGATTAGTCTGCTACGCAAGTTCACGATTTAATGAGGTCACGAGTTCACGTGAGGCGACATCAAGGCCGTACTAAGTTTGAGGCTTTGGCAGCAAGATTTGACGAGTTGCAAACTGAAATCGAAATAAATTGCGACGAATTAAATGAAAAAACGAAATTCGAGAAAACGTTGTACATGATAATATAATAATTATTAGTGTGACAACTGCAAAAACTTATTTAGAGTTAAATTCTATGAGTGAATTATGACGCAATTTTATAACTAATCGCATTGGAGCAATCAATGAAACTTACTTCCCTCTACTTTAAATCCAGCTGACCTTATTTCTCGTGGTGTCCTGCCAGTCAGCTTCAAGACCTGGAATTATGGTAGCCAGGTCCTAGTTTTTTATCCCAGGTTGTATCTTATTGGCCAGAACTTCCTTCTCAATCTGAAAACGAGAACTTACCAGAAATTAAAAACTTACGATACAATAATCTCAGTACAGAGTACTAAAAAGTCAAAAGTTTGTGGAATTACATCTGTTTGCCTAGTTTTATTGAAATTGGTTACGGAAAGTGCGCGAATCCGGATTCATCCCCTAGTTTGCCACCCTTACAAGTGGAATATTTTCTCAGGACCATTAGGAATTCCCTCTTCCCATATTAACTAAAATAACGGATAACTCATGTATTTAAGTCGAATTTTTGCTCGACATCTTTCGAACCAATTCGTGGTCCTTAATCATGACATTCCCTCTTTCCAACAAAAAAAGAGTCATCAAAATCGGTTCACAAATGCCAGAGTTATCGCGTAACATAAAAAACCAGTCGAATTGAGAACCTTATCCTTTTTTTTGACGTCGGTTAAAAATACACTGAAATCTTACGAACTAAAATACACTAAATACTAAAAAGTTATGAACTAAATCTACAGTAAATACTAAAAGCATACAAACTAAAACTACACAAAGTTTAAAAAAATACAAAAATACAAATTCTTAATACTTAATTACTAACAACCACTTTGCAGGGCCTTTTCAAATTATAAATAAAAAAGGTCTTGGTTCTAAATTAGTAAAGTGTTATTTATGCTAATTTGTTTGTATGAAAAACAAATGCAGTTACGAAGCAGTGAGTGATCTACCTAAAGAAGCTTTTATCATGACCTTCAGACGATTTGTTTCTCATAGAGGAAAGCCAGTCTATTTGTTTTGTGACAACAATGGCCGTAATTTTGTTACAACTGATAAGGAGTTGTCTAATTTTTTAAAACAAAGTAACGTTTACTTGATCTGAATTTGCGGCCACAAGAAGGCGTAAGGTTCAATTTATCCTTGCGTACGCTCCTCACTTCGGTTGAATTTGGGAACCCGGTGTAAAATCGGTCAAATTCCATTTAGACGAGTCATGGGCAATTCTCATTTAACCTACGAAGAATTGTCTACGTTATTTGCGCAAATTTAGGGAATTTTGAACAGTCGTCTCTTGTGTCCATTATCTAACTCTCCTAATGACTTCCTCTATCTCCCACCAGGACACTTCCTCGTGTGGCGGCCGTTAACTGCGCCACCCACTTCTACGCACTACTACTTATGGAGGAACGTGCTGATATGATATTTCCCTAGCACGCTGCGCACGGCTTGAGAAAATTAATTAACATGCTTGGAACCAGAAGCAGAAAGAATATATAGCCGAACTCCAACGAAGAAGAAAATGAAAGACAGACGGTCAACCAAAGTTTAAAGATTGGCTATTGGTGCCCCTTCAAGAAGAACATGTTCCACCACTCTGTCGGCGTCTCGATCGAGTCTAGAGCCTATTTCCGGGCTCAGATGGTATTTCACGAAATTAATACAACGAGGGCAAGGGTACGACGTCCGTTGGTTTGCCTGTGTCCGCTGCAGTGCACATTCAGTCATTTTGAGGCATAATGCGCTTCTACAACTAGATTCCGCTTGATATACAAAATTTGCCATTCACGGGCTTAAAACTATAGTGAAACAAAATCTTTATACTAAAGGTTATTTATAGTTGTATAATAAACTTCTGCGTACTTGGATGACAAAAATCCGTGTTAGTAACCCGTTTATCTCTTGGAGGTAGTCTGTAAAAAATATAATTATTGTATATGATAAATGTGTACAAGTGTTTATTTACAAAAAGCAACCCCTAGAGTTTCTTGCTCATTCTTCTCAGGGGAATCTGCCTTACGAATGAGCGGTAGAGTTTAACCAATGTGACGATTGCAAGTATACTTGGTACTTGGTGTAACGGGCTAGTGTCCGCAACTCGACGTCAAGGCGCCTATTTTGCGTGTGGGATTGCAAGTATAATAGTTGCTTACTTATGAAACAAAGATTATTTTCATTTTCGATTTTGCACCATGTCTCCAACACAGTGCTGAAAGTGGGACCTTTCAGCGAAGAGGGAAGATGATACGGCCCCATTATCTCCACTCCACTCATTCATGAGTCCACACCCCATGTACCTGATTAAGAACCTGCCTTGACTGTTTCCGTTGAGCTAAAGAAAGGCAACAGCACTTGTCATTTTAAGTAGGTAGTTTAGAATGTACAAAATTATTATTTGCTATTACAAGTGTGATGTATGCCGCCGCATCATTCGGCTTTAACCTTCCATATCCCATTCCCGGTCTTTTATTGAATATAATAAAGTTATAATAATACAGCTTTGGTATTTTATTTAATATATTAGGCCCAATAAGTTTCTGAAACAGCGTCCATCATTATATATATGATATTTGTAACGCAGTTTTTGTTAGTGTTTAAATTTAAAAATTTTATTTTTTTACAATTTAAGTACCTAGTTAATTATGCACTACACACTCTTTGTAGCTAGCAGCACAATACTTATGGAACAAGCTACTTTCAAGTGCCGTGCGTGATAGGTACTATGAAATAATCACGCTGCTCGTTTCACGAGGTAAAAACCTTAAACCTAAAAATTCACCGAATGCCTTGATAAAATATTCTATTTATATTATATTATAGAAAGTTTGCGATTGAAACAGTTGGCCTTTGACAAAATTACTCATATAAATAAAAAAAAACATAGTTTGCTCTCAACTTATTAGATGGCAGCACTATCGTGTTCGTTTTAGTTCAAAATTATCTCACTAGATGGGAGATATGTGCACGTAGTTCATTTTATTTTCATTAGATGGTGCTGCGTGTTACAAGGCGCTGTAGTAGTTTTACCACTCGTTATTAGATGGCAGAGTTAAAAAATAATTCCACTGCGCGGTAGATGGCGCTATTTAAAAAAAATAGAAAAGTGGTGGTGTAGGCAAAATTTTCACTAACTTCTATAGGCAAATAATTAAAAAGGAGCACTCATCTTGCTTGCCTCAGTCTTGTCTTGCACTAACTTTTCTGCCAGTTGTCAAATGAATGTGGCAAGTAAAACTAATCTCACGATTTTCAAAGATAATTTATTCATTTTCTATTAGTATTAATTGCAGACAATCTTTTATTTAATACACAAATAAATTTAAAATTGAAGCACAATGCCGGACATAGAGAACTTGAGTATTAGTAAGTAAAACCACTGTTATTTCTAGTGCAATCTAACCTTATTTTTCAAAACACGTATGCAATTTAAATGAACGATTTTAGGTGGAATATACACATCGGAGAAGCTAGGGAGTGATGAATCAGGAGATGGTACGGAAGGTAAGCCATTCAAAACTATATTGCAGGCTATGCGCCATGCGGGCAAAGAACCATTTCCTACAATTTATGTAGACGCTAAAGAAGAAGGAAAAACTTTTGAAGTTGCGGCAAAATCTCAATTAAAGAAGATTCAGAAGATCTGGGTTCGAGAAAACTATAAGGCCGCTGATAAAGCGAAAGCCGAAGAGGAAAGCAACGAGAGAAGACAACAGAACCTCGAGGAAGCGAAAAAAATTGTTATTCAAGAGGACCCTAGCTTGCCTAAAGCAAAAGTCATTAAAATATTCGAAAGTGAGTTAATTTTCTCTAAATAATCCTAGTTTATGCATTTACAAATATTTCTATTAACATTTGCTTTTAATGATGCATCTCCATTAAAAATACCACTCACTGTTAATCAATAACATAAAATTACTTACATTTTATATTCATTCAGTTTTGCTATTAATCAGATTGGCTACCCTCGCTTTAATTTGTATATGGAGGATGAAAAACATTAAAAATTGGGTGTTGTAAAGATTTTCGTAATAACATTAAAATGGTGTTTAAAATCACAGATTTATGGATTATTTCAAGAATATGGCACAAACATTCATTTACTACTTTCCAAATCAAAATAAACATTTATTAAATTCCTATGCAAAGTTTTAACATGTTGCATCATTCTGTGTATAACCATGGTGGAAGGGTGCAACATCTAAGGCGAATCCTTAATGTTTGTGAGTGATGCAATAACATCAAAACATTGCAGCGCATGCAAGTGATGAACTACCTACTTTTGGCTATTCTGTTCTTAGTTAACATAAGTAAACATTGCGCATAATTCACAATAATGCAGGGTGTAATTTCTATGACAAACTGTAATAACCTTCAAATCAAAAAATTTTGCTTTTGAAAAAATCTGCCAAAGATTGAAATAACACGTTTGCAGAGTATGAACTATTAGTATTTGTGCCCATTACTTTGTCTCAAAACTAATTTACCTGTATTAATGCATTCCAAAATTTCACATGTTTGGGTATACATTTACAAAATTACGATTCTTTTCTTTACTATTCATTTCTAGCACTGCATTTCAATTAGTCTAATTTTGAAATTGTTTCATTGATGTGCTATTTCTTATATTCTCCGTATTAGACAAATAATCTGAGCATTATAATAATAATCCCGAAATTTTGTTTCTTTCATTCATTAATTCAATATTATCAGCCGTATTAATATGAACTGATATAATCGGTTACAATCAGGGTTTATTGTAGTTCCATATATTTTAAAAGAGTATGAGCAATACTTGACACAGGTAATATAATTTTCACATCCTTTATATATATATATTGGTATTGTCTTAACATTTTCTATCACTGCTCAGTCCAGTGGAAACTGCACATGATTCCAAAGAACTAAGTGAATATCAAGCAAAGGATCTTAAGGAGAACGATAAACAGGCACTTTTGAACCTTAGCCAATTAATAACTTGTTACCAGAAAAAACTAAAAAAATATTTGTTAACCAAATATACTTGTTTCCTAGCTGGCAACCACCGCGGTGAACGGATATGCATTAGTGGCTGGGTCCACCGTCTCCGACACCAAGGCAAGGCTCTGACTTTCATCACACTCCGTGATGGCACGGGCTACCTGCAATGCGTGTTGCATGGTATCTTATGTCAGACTTACAATGCCCTTGTTTTAACTACTGAGTCTTCGGTTACTTTGTACGGGAAGCTAGAGGTTGTTCCTGAAGGGAAAATTGTGAGTTATTTTCATTGTTGGAGCATAAACATGTTTTGCTTTGTATGTATGTCTAAGTTTGAATAATATTGTTAATTACAGCTCGTTTACTGAAGACTATGTCATGAAACATGACATAAGACAATAAATAAATGGTTACATTCAAACTGCTGTACTAAAAACTTAAGAAAAATTGTTACTTGATTGCTAATACGCAACATAACTGTGACGTTATTGTATTAATATTCAGGCAAACACTTTCTTTTAACATACTTTTTGCTTCATCTCATTAGTTATCAAACATAATGAAATAATTCATGTGTCATACCTTGAGTGCAAAACCTCTGCTCATTATAATAAATTTAATAAAAAACACATTCCAGGCACCGGGTGGCCATGAGTTGTCAGTAGATTATTGGGAGCTAGTGGGTCTAGCCCCACCAGGCGGCGCAGACGCCATCCTTAACGAGGAAGCTCTACCTGATGTACAGCTGGACAACAGGTCAGTTGCGTTGGTATTTGTTGGGGCTATGTTGGTATTAGTTGGGGCTATGTTGAGTGTGTGAGTTATTATTATATATTATTTTTACAGCTTACAATGAATTGTATAATCATATAGACAATTTTTGAGAAACTCTTACCTGGCAGTGCAAAAACCAACTGGATGACTCCTGTTATGTGTCCATGACGGTCTTTAGACATTGTTCCATTAGCCATTCCATCAATTCTACCTTAAACTTCAGGACTATAAGTAGAAAGAAATAAGACTTCAGGATATCACTAGAGCATCATTTACATTATATGTAATTTTGCCCTGGACTTTTAAGAGAGAGCATACCAAAAAAGTTTTGACGTTGGCTCCGCCCAAATTGTGAAACAAATATATGCCTGAAGTTCTCGTGACATGCGACAGGAGATGTTGAATTTTGCGCATTAAAAGTACCAAATTCGTTTTAGCGGAATAACTCTAAAACTAAAGGGATTAAAAAAAATCCGTAGTGACAGTTCTCGATCATGCATAAATATAATTAATTATCTAATTTTTGTCCTAATAACCTGTAGCATTTCGAGGACGAATCGAAAAAATGTGAAAATTAGAGGTCATTTCGTGATTTTTATCTATCGAGGAAACTTTATTGTTTTATGTTTCTGATTAATGTCAATGCTTGAATATATCGTATAGTTACTCATACAATATTTTATTTTTAACTTTAAAGTGGATATACCCCTCTAAAATCAAATCGAAGATTAGGAATTTTTCCTCTGCTCCCTCTTAATTACCTGACATGATCTGCATCTTGTTGCTATCAAATACGAAATATTGTAAAGGGCGTGATACATTAAGTTTAACTGTGAGGATTATTAATACATATATCATGATAGACAAAAGTAAAGATAACCTAAAACCACAATAAACCGTGATCGTGATCTGAGCTTATTTTAATACTACTGATAAAATTGAATTAATGAATGAAAAACAACAAAATTCCGGGAATATTTCTATAATGCTGAGATTATTTGTATGATACCGTGTTTTCGCGAAACAATAAGAAATTAGTGCACCAATGAATCAATTTCAAAATTACTTTGTTGAAAATGCAAAGCAAGAAAAGAAAAAATGTATAATGCTGTAAAAGTTTATAAATGTATACCCAAACAAGTGAAATGTCGTAACTCTACAGAGGAAAATTAGTCTCTAGAAACAAAGTAATGGTTCCAAATGCTATTAACCCACAATCTGGACCACATGTTTATTGTCAATCCATGACTGTCTTAATACAATTTCATTACTCGTGCCATTCGTTTTTTATTGCATGAAGTTTTTTTGGCATAACCCTTACTGGTGTCCTAGAACCCACCTGGAACACAAATCAGTTACTTTTCACGCTTTTATCTATGAAGTGTGATAAATTTTCTTTTCAAAATTGTAACATTACAGAATGTATATTATGAACAAGAATTAAACTCTAGAACATGGTTCAAATGGTGGGTATCAGTGTCGTGAATCTTTGACACCTTGGGCAATGCCACTACTGGTGCCATCACTAATTTTTTGTACCTATTAAAAATATTTTTAGCGTTCTCTGGTACCCCAGAATTTAATATTTAACAAAAATAATATTCCCGTTGTATTTCATACGACTTCAAACACTTATTTATTTGACTGAAGTAATAAAGAGCTTTTACGTTTGATGTGCCTTCGACTTTGACATATGCGAATATATGATTTTGTAGTAGGAGGCACTAATTTTTTTCCTTACGTTTTTATATGTCGATACCTAATTAATTTGATAAAATTTTACAGCGTAAATTTGCTTCAAAGTAGCCTTCTTTTGCACCTATGCAAACATTTATATTAACTTATACAATTGCAATGACGTAATTCGTACGTGTATTTGATATTGTCCTACATGTATAGCTTAATCCAAAAGAAATATGTACGTAGTGTTATATTGTATAAGCAACTGTGACACGACTAAAAAAATCGACACAATTTATATTATTCTTTATGGGGCACAAATCGCATCTTGAAATTCTTCGGTCACGTCTTAACGCAGGAGAATCATTCGATAGAGCGTCTTATCATACAAGGCGGAGTTGAAGGCACTAGACTGCGGAGAATGTATTGATGGACCGATGAAATAAAATGTGCTGTGGGCGGTCGTTTGCATGAATGCCCCAGAAAATCCATCATTATAAGTAGATGACGAGATATCGTGAGGCGACCCTGTCAAAAGTACTACGAAATAGAGTAGAATCGATGGTCGAAATTGCATTAGACAGTTATAAGTGTGGCGCACTGTAAGTTTCCGGAATTAACACGAAGAAAAGGCTATAAATGGTCAGAAATGAATTTATTATTTCTCAAAATATTCTTCGTTAGCGTTAATGCACTTTTTCATGCAAATAAACCACCTTTGAAAACATTATGCCACTCCTTCGTGACAATCTCTAAAACATATTTTTCATTCTTTTCGATAGCCTCTTCAGGTGACGAAACTCGTTGACCGCGGAACTGTTCTTAATTTTTGGAAATAAATAAAAGTCAAAGATGCCAGGTTGTACAACGATTCTCCAAACCAAAAGTCGTCACGTGTCCAGTTTTATTAAAAAAAGAAGTAACGCTTAGAGGCACTTTGCACGCGCGCCACTTTGGTTGGTTTCGGCTCATCTCGAAAGACCCATACGCTCGATTGCTGCTTTGTTTTGGGATTGTAACTATAAATCCATGTTTCGTCACCTGTTACTATGACCCACACCAAATTTGACGCCCCTTCGTTGAATTCTGGTAAGCATGGCATTGCACCAAGTGACGCGATCCGTTTTTTGAGCCTCAGTCAAATTGTGTGGGATCCACCGAGAGCACAGCTTTTTCACACCCAAATGTTTGTGTGTGTATTGATTGTATTTGACTCATGCCTATGCCTAAAAATGCTCGAATCTCATGATGTGTCCCATGCCTGCCTGTTTTGATCATACGGCGCACAGTGTCGATGTTTTTGTTGTTCACATCTGTGGACAGACGAACATCACGAAATTCGTCACTAAGATTCACACGACCGCGTTTGAATTCTGCAAACCAATTATAAATAGTCGTCTTGCATGGTGCTTCATCGCCAAGAGCAGTTTGAAGCCGAGCGAAACTCCGCTGACCTATTAAATTATATTTAAAGTCGCAGAAAATCATACTACAATAATTTTCACATGGATTTAACCATGTTGATGTAGACAATTTAAAAACAAGTGACAGTCAGATGAAACAAACTGTATTCTACAGTCAAAGAGTTCCATTTTCAAATGTAATTACTTTTTAAATATTGTTTATGGAAGTGGCCAGTTTCGGAAACTTATAGTGCGCCCTATGTAATTCAAAAACATTTTCGATTACACTAGTAAAAATTTTAGATGGCTTTCGTGAGCTTGAAAAACAAACAAATTTAAAAATGGAATAGTTACAGGCATTCACAAATCAGGGGTAGAAAGAGACGACAATTGAGTTTTGTTATGTCACATTTTCATAGACCCATACATGCATACTATAATGTTGATGACGTAGGTCGCAGCATTCATCCAAAGTGGTATACGATCTAACCAGGATTAGGAGCTCTATGGTGTTAGTTGAAAAGTCGATAAATGGTTTTCACATTATTTTTAGTATGTTCATATCAGTAGTGAAGCAACAAAGACAGATTTAAATACTCTGATTCGACAGTTGCTTTCTTCTAAACTCTTTCTATGATTACGTCGCAATATAATAATGATGCGATCGTAATAAATTGAACAGATTCGAAAATTACAAAATATTGGAGAACAAATTTTAATACAACACATAGACACAAAGGTGCAAATTATATATTGAATCAGTTAAAGCAACTCTAGGCGAAACTTGGAGAATATTCCCTCCGCTTTTCAGCAAACGAATGTTCTGTCCAATACGTTCGCACAGAAACTTGAACGAACGCCATTCCTCGATTAAAAATTTACAAAAACAAATTAATAAAAAATAACGGAAAAACCAATGTTTTTTTTTATTCGATTCACAAAAATGGATACAATTTCAAAATAAGGCTTTGGCACTATAATACGTGAAGAACATACCCTACTATGGTTTATTTTATTAAAGGACATCTATTGTTTTGTATAATACCCCAATTAATGGGAGATTCTAGGGCTGGAATCTTGTGCAACGGTTTTATTAAATGGCTCTACATCCTGTACGTATTTCCTTTTAAAAAATGAGTTTTTTGTCAGGCACATAATGATCCGTGGAGAGAACACGTCGAAGGTGCTGCGCGGGCGCGCGGCAGTGACGCGGGCTTTCCGCGAACATTTCGCCGCGCGGCACTACACCGAGGTGACCCCGCCGACACTGGTGCAGACTCAGTGCGAAGGGGGCAGTACGTTATTCAAGTTTAAATACTTCAAGTAAGTTCAATAAGTCCAATCTGACTCGAGCCTAGTAAACTTCACTGATGAAGTGACAGTAGCTATTATCAACATGTAAAACTAGAGTTGCAACAAATGTTCGATTACTATTCGGTATTCTGATTCGACACCAATTATGGATATGTTCGACCGAATACCTAAAACAGGAGGAAGAAATAAGAAAAACAGCAAGTTATCAAGTAATTTTTATTAATGCTGCATAATGTAAGTTGGCACAAGTGCAATTTTCACCTCTTTATCGAAAAGATCAAAGAAAATAATAATAATAATAATAAATGACTATTTTATTTTTGTAAGTCGTCAAAAAAGGTAATACATCAAATGAAAACCACCTCACGATTAAATAAACGCTAACAAAATCAACCAAATACTTATTATTTACAAACAAAAAAATTAAGCTTTTGAAAGTTAATCAAAGTGAAGTGGAATAAACAATTACTTTTTTCATTAAGTCGTAAATTTAAAATATAAACTTGAAAATGAAAATAAGTACCCTTTCCTTTTCATTGTGCAAAATTATTTGTCATCAAATTAATAAGTGATATTTTTGGTGCCAATTTTCGAACGTGCATTAATTAAGCTGAATAGTTTGACCGAATATTTGGCTACGCTCCTGGCAAGATATTGCTGAATATATTCGTTGCAGCACTAATAAAAACACTATGGTACATGTAGTCAAGGCTTTCGTGGTTATACACTAAACTGTTAACACTGGTTACAGATACCTTACCACAGTATGAGTTCTTTTTATACTATATGTTTCATACCGTCGTAAGAAACATGTAATTAATGATTGCTATTCTTCATATTGAGGCACTCAAGGACTCCAATCTGATTGACACAGTCGGTGTAATATCAAAGAGGGGGGTACTGTTGAACACGCAATAAAATGTGTGCCGTTCTTCTGATAACTCTCGTATTAGACAAATTTTTTATAACAAGTTATTTTCTGATTAGCGCTTACGCGTCTTAACGGGAAGCTCGTGCCAAATCTTTTTTGAAAAAAGCCGGACTCAGAACATCGTGGAATTACATTAATTTTTTTTAGAGTTTTATTGAAATCGGTTACCGGAAAGTGCGCATTACCTGATTCATCACCTAGTTTTCCACTCTCAGAAGTGGAATATTTACTTCAAATTTAAATGGAATCAATACTCTTTACAACAAAAAAAGAATTATCAAAATCGATTCACAAAATATCAGGAGTTATCGCGTAACATACATACAAAAAAAGACGGTCTAATTGAGAACCTTGTTTTTTTTTGAAGTCCGTTAATTAGTTCAACAGACAGACCTGGTGCTCGAAAGCCAGTCTGACGTCTTCGCTCTGACTTCGACTCTGTTTCTTGTGAACGCCACGAATGTGGGATTGACCGTTTCCCCTGCTGTTGTTGTGCAGCGACGACGCGTACCTGACGCAGAGCTCGCAGCTGTACCTGGAGACGTGCCTGCCGGCGCTGGGCGACGTGTACTGCATCGCGCAGTCCTACCGCGCGGAGCAGTCGCGCACCAGGCGCCATCTCGCCGAGTGCGTATTGCAAATTAGGATACACCGATGCTCCCAATGAGCAATACTCCAATTTTATTTTTAGATCATTTTCTTTTCTTTTTTTTTTGAACAGCCATGTTTATTTTCTATCATTATGATTCCCGAAGTTTGTTAAATAAGCAAGTAAAGAAACGGAAACGAAATTCGAAAAATAAAAAAACAAATTTTATGAAAAAAAAGAAACAAAAACAAAATAAAAGCAGAACAGATCCAAGAATTGAAATAATAATTTTTATTGAATTTTTAAATTAAAATATTATCATGAAATATTATGTAGGTAGCATAACATTTCTGTGACACGTATCACTGACAACACACCGAAAGTATTTTATAAAAAAAAACATGCACACTTGCATACGTTACGGAGCAAAGCACCGCTAACCCGACAAACAATGTATTGCTTCGCATTGACGACTGGCGGACGCTGTGACGTCACTGTGCATTAGCCCCGTACATTCCATTCCATTCCACATATTGCTTTTTTATGACACCAGTCGTGCGCCTGGTGGTATGCGACACGCCTGTCCATAGCAGTAGCAGTGCCGCTCAGAGCTTTAAATAGCATAGATCTGAGGGGCACTGCGCCATCACCTTGAGACATAAGTAGACAAGTCCCATGTGCCTGTAATTCTTCAAAACCGAAACGCAGTAATACTCACATAGCGGAAACTAATTCTCTATAACTACTAACAGGTACAGCCACGTAGAGGCGGAGTGCCCGTTCATAACGTTCGAAGACCTCCTCGATCGTCTGGAGGACCTGGTCGTGGACGTGGTGGACAGAGTCCTGGCGTCGCCGGACGCGCATCTCGTCCATGAGCTGAACCCCAACTTCAAGGTATGGACATTTCAATAAACCTTTGAGCTAAATCAAAACAACCTGTACGCCGTAAGCATTCATTTGCACCGCATCATCTTTTAATTATGATTGCAACACTTATTTGACTGCATATCATAATGTTTTTAACTACCATGATACTCCACTAGAAGATCGAACAAACACAAAGAAAAATTCGTGAGATCTGACCTGACTCGAACCAGCGTCTGTTGCCACACCAGGGCCACCGCTGTTAAGCCGGGTGCACATTAGCGAGCTGCAACAGTAACGAGATTCTGGTGTGTACGCGTCAAACAGTTTTCACTCGCCAGAATGAGTACCTGGGTAACGTCGGCTCACTGCGAACCACAGATCCGCTTACATTGCACGTTGCATATGCAACGGTTACGGTAACAGCTCGCTAGTGAGTACCCGGCTTTACCCACTGAGCTGCAGACCGAGTCGGCAAATCTTAGTAGTATCTTCACTCAACCTGGAGGTCTACCACGAAATACGAAGCAACGATCATCGTTTTAGCTTCGTATCGAACTGGAGGCTACCACAAAACGCGTACGAAGATCGTGATTTGACATAAGTCCTTACTCCGAAACGTCAAATGACAGCTTTCGTATCGAATTTTGTCATCACTTTCATCGTAAAACCGACATATATACTCGTACTTACGGTATAAGCTTCGTTGCGGACAGTCACGTAGTATCGTATTTCGTGGTGGACTCCCTGGTACCTTTCAGCTACCAGACATTGACAAGAGATGTCACTATATTGATTTTATTGAATATCATGTTTTTACTACCATGTTATTCGTACTAATTTTTCAATAATGTTAGGTAACTGTGCCTCTACCGTGAGATCAGAGCGACAGTTATTGCTAGCGACCACGTAAAATGTTTGTATGCAAAAGGTTGTTTATTCTTGTGGCCGCCAGAGACGCTGTATAATTGGCCATACAAAATTGTGAAGTAAATTACGTGATCGTTAGCCACAACTGTGACAGTTAACTCGTGGTAGCGGCACTGTGTAGTGACGAATACGATCTCGGTCAGCCGTGGCCATGGGTCCTCGGAAAACCCTAAACCTGTGGTTTGTTTTTAATGATGTTATTAATACATAGTTTCGTTTCCAATATATAGCAATGGCGAAAACCTGAAAATTCAATTTATACTTATGCCATTTCGTTTTCATAGCGTCCAGAGAAGCCGTTCAAGCGCATGACGTATATCGAAGCCATTGAATATCTCCGCGAGCACAACATCACCAAGGAAGACGGATCCTTCTATGAGTTCGGAGAGGTAACAACACACAACTCGCCATTTGCTACTTTTTGTTCCTTTTAAGCCAATTTTTTAATACAACATTGTGACATTTTTGTTATAAATACAAACATTAAAAGCATCTAGGGATCAAGCACTTTTTTTTTTGAAATTCAGGTTTTCTTTAATGATTTTTTAACACCAATGGTTTTTTTTTTGTCAATTTAATTTTGAAATTCAAATCATGAAATTGACCAAAAAAATCCATTGGTGTTAAAATAGTTATTTTTGATACAAGTGCGAAAAGTTAGTCATTATTCACGGGTCTCGGGGCTCAAGACTCGAGACAAGCGAAAATGACAAATTACGTACGCACGTATATCAAACGACGGTTTTTAATACGTTTGCGAAAAAACTACATTGAAAGTAAAATAAAACAGTATTTAAAAAAAACTCACTTTATTTCTTTGTCTGATAAAAATTCAGAGTACAATTGCAACTGTTGCCAGTACTCAGCCACATTAAAATTACCATTTTAGTGGCGCGGTCTCTTCGTAATACTCACCTCCGGTCATTGTTAATACTCAATCAGCCATCTTTAAGGACAATATTTTGGTATTTTTAAATGTAACCCGTTGTTTTATAAAACAAATAAGATGTTTGTAAGTAAATATAAGTTTTAATGACGAATGACTTACGTCACAAAGCACATAGATATTAAATAAATGTACAACCTCTTTAGCTCTATGTTTAAGACTTGAAACAACAGTAAATTTAAAAATAATGGAAAAGTAAAAAGCACTAGTGCGAAAAATCCAACTTTCGGCACGATTTGTAGTATTACGAAAAAATTCCTTCAATCCGGCTAGAATCTTTATTTATCTTTAAATTAAAAACCACTTTTGTTTTTAAATTAAAAACCAAAAAACAGAGTTCTGCTACAAGCACATAGAAAAATTCGTTTCGTGACTTAGTTGGCATAGCGTCCGTCTTCCAAGACGTTGGGTCTAATTCAGCCGGTTTGAAGGAATTTTTTTCTTTGTGTTCCATTTCATCTTTGTCTTAATAAATTATTAAAAACCTGAATTTCAGTAATTGGCAAAAACGTGCTTGATCCCTCGACACTTTTGATGTGTGTATATTTGGAGAGAGAATTCTACCCTACAACAGTCAGACACACCCTAAGGGCACGTATTTATCGTTGGACGACTGTCGTTCTACCTGTTTCCATTCTCACGACAGCCTGTCGTAGTAACGTCAAAAAAATCGTGAACGATAGTTAATCGTGTTGTTACTATATGTGAAAAAATCGTGTGTATATACAAGCCACAACACTTTAAACTGCACGACAATCTGTCATCACGACATAATAGGAACGCGCTAAGGGGAGCTCAAGAATAAACAGCACCATACATTTTGATCAAATCGACATTTCATATGGAACAGTAAATTTTAATTTTTGCTATTTGATGGGTTTTCCCATGCTGCAAGAGCAAGTTCTTCCTTTTCAGATGTAATTCTGATACGTTATAAATTTAAACTATACATAAATAATTATTTATAAACTTCTTCCTATCTGTTTTAATTATAGTGTTATGCACCCCTGTTAATTATTTTGAACCCAGCTCTCCGGTTGAGTGGTAGAGAATGCCTAATGGGATTTAGTCCGCCATTTGTACTGTTTTGTGTGCAATTAAGTTTAAATAAATACATAACAGACAAACACCACCTGATCTCAAAGTAGGAAATCTCCTGTAATGTGTAAAGTGCCACAGGTATAAAAGTACATTTCCCCAAATTAGTCATACCGGAATCGATACCGGGACCTCCTTATCTTTTACCCACCTTACATAATTTATAAAAGCATTTTAAAACATCATTAAGTGATTGGCAACTTTTTCTAAAGTCTCCCAATGTTTTTTTAGGATATTCCAGAAATGCCAGAGCGCAAAATGACGGATCAGATAGGCGTACCAATCTTGCTGTGCAAGTTCCCTGCTGAGATAAAGTCGTTCTACATGCCGCGCTGTAAAGACGATAACAGGTTGACCGAGTCTGTGGACGTCCTTATGCCCGGAGTGGGGGAGATTGTGGGAGGGTCCATGAGGATATGGGATCACCAGGAGCTTATGGAAGGTTAGTAGATTTAACTGTCTCCGTGGCCAAACGGTTACTATGCCGGACTGCCACTCAAAGGTCCCAGGTTCAATTCCCGAGGCCGGGAGAAATATTTGTATGGCCTACATTTATTTCTCTCGTGAGTTTCGGTGTAATTTGTGGTTATCTATGTGTGTTTCCATGGCACCAGCGACACAGGGTTTCCCTAGTGCGGAGCTATGTTGACTGTGTGCGTTATTATTATTTCTCAATATAACGTTTAAAAATAACTCAATAATAACATGTAAAACGATAAAACTGTTGACAACAATTACATGACTATTTAAAATTTTACGAAAACTGGCAACGCTGCAAATGTTACTTTACCCCGTTTCAAAAGAGACAGACTAGTGTAATGTCGTATAGCCATAAGCAAGTGTATTTATTTCTCCGCAGGCTACAAACGCGAGGGCATCGACCCCACCCCCTACTACTGGTACACGGACCAGCGCAAGTTCGGCTCGGTGCCGCACGGCGGGTACGGCCTCGGCCTGGAGAGGTTCCTCTGCTGGCTCTTTAACCGCTACCACATCAGAGAAGTCTGCCTGTATCCGAGGTTCCTTGAACGCTGCACGCCTTAACTCATCATTTTCTTATTACAATTGAGCATATTCCAGTTTTCTCCGCACGTGTATGTATCTACTGAAACAGAAAATAATTTTCTCAAGTAAAAATTATTTAGACTAACATAATAGAGATACTCGTGCTGAGCCAACTCGCATAACAGAAAATCATATGCTCTAAACTATCTTACTTCCAAACAAAGCATTTCGTTGGCGTAATTATGAGTAAGTTAATTTATAACAATTAATATTTTTAATAATTTAGCTTATGTTGTAAATATAACAACAACAGTTGCAATGTGCAGAGGAATTATCAATTTTATTAAGTTTAAATAAAGCTTGGTTTATTTTATTCAAATTGCGTTTACTTACCGTGATCTAAATCTACATAAGCCTAATCATAGTTTACTGATGGCCGTCTAAAACTAAGTGTTTACGTGTCCCTTATTACAGCGTGACCATTGTCGAATTTCATAGGCGTCATTTCAGTCGTAAGCCACTAGATTTTAGTAGCCCCGCAGCAGAAAAGCTGCAAATTATACGTTTACATTTGTCGTTTCCTATTAGTTATGTAGTAGTAGTTTACTACCGTCCACTTAGTTAAACGCGGCAAAAAGTGACAATTGGTCAAATATCCGTTTTAAATAGCAAAAGACAGAGCACAAAATTCTCATTTAAAAACCATTGACTTACAATTATATGGACGTCGGGTCCGCGCTAAAAAGTGTCCGCACTTGTAAGGCGCTAAAATCGTATACAGAGCGCGACACTCCGCTTTAGTCTTCATTTGTTCTACTGACAGCGCGATACTGCGATGACATTACAATTTAAATTTCGAATAGGTTGACTTGGGACATTTTTTTCGTGGTTTTTGTATTAGACCCGTCGTCCATTTATTTGTAAGTCAATGTTAAAAACAGTTAATAGTTAATGTGTTCGACTTATCGGAGCTTACCCTAATGATGCAAAGCTGAAATATAATTAAACAATTTCAATATTTTAAAACTGGGTTATGGTTTTTTATGATATCTCAAAAAATTATTTTGTCACTGCCGCCTTTTCGTTAGCGGACGGCAGTTTAGTATTACAGTAGTAGAGTTCCTTGTGAAAGAGTTCGTCCAGGGAAATACTGCCGCCAAGCAGTAATGCTAATGCGTGCATTGCTGCGTCGCACATTAGCATTACTGCTTTCCGGTCTTGAAGGATAAGGGTGCGTGATATTACAGGCACATGGGACTTCTCAACATACGTTTCAGGGTGACGGGCGCGGTGACAGTGCCCCTCAGATCTTTGCTATTTAAAGCTCTGAGTGGCACTACAACTTCTATGAACAGGCGTGTCGCATCCACCAGGCGCACGACTTGTTCGTCCTGGTTCGTGGTATACTGAAAAAATATATCTGCCATACTTAATCATTCGTTTTGTATAGGACACGTACATATTAATTAATATCGTCTACTCAAATCGTCGAATTTGAAAACCGTAACTCCGTTTATGGACCAAATCCCTTTTATACTCTTCAAAACCCTTTTTTCTTTTGGTTTTAAGGTCTTAAACGTACAAATAAGTTCAAGCAATGTCAATAATTATAAAATCACAGTAATGTTTAAGTTAAATACATCAAAAAACTATTTTTTAGGTCACACGAATGAGATTGTAGTAACTGAATGATTTTCTCAGAAACATAAATGAGAAAGACGGCACAATAATGAGAAATTATTACTACAACACACATTTTATCGTTCACAAAAGAACATTTAACAGGTAACAATTATTTTAATATAACTTCTTGTATCAAAATCCTTCTCATCCGTGTAAGACCATCTATCTATCCATAGGTAATAAAATAAAATAAAGTAATAAATAAATCCAAATAAGTATTTTGTTAATGTCATATAAACTTTGTTGTACCTCAATATATCATCATCTCCACCATCAACACCATTATCATCAGCATCATTACCATTCACATCATCATTACAGTCATCGTCATCATCATCGTCATCATCATCATCGTCACCACCGTCATCACCACCACTATCACCATCGAATTGTTATATTTCAAGTAAATGTTTGGCTTAAAGTAACTATTTGTCTTAAAAGTAGACAAGAATGAGAGCAACAATAATGACACTTGGATACATTTTTAATTGTCAAGTGTGTAAAATATGCTGGACCGTTGTAAAAGTGCATGGATTTTAAAGTTCCCTTTGTCTGATTGATGTACAATAAAGTTTATAAAACTATTACTCAAAACTTATTTAGATCGATTGCTTTACATGAATGAGAACGATTCAGTCACTAGCGCTGAAATTGGTATTTAAGTCGATTTTTTGCTATAACGGAGATGCACAGGTTACTTCACTGTACACTCCAATCCGACAGGAGCTCCTTCTCACGTGTGCGAAGAGTGAAGGTGATGCGGTATGAACTTTTTTTATTACGAGGCTTTTAGTTGAAGTGACACTAATGATAAGAAAAATTGAAACACATTTTGTATTCCCAAGAAAACATGTTTGTTTATAATGAATTGGAAAGTTACGGTATGTATTCGACGTGAAAGTTATTAGAGTTTGTCTTCGATTTCCACGAGTGTTTAATTTTTTTTTCTTTTCTTACAATTAGGGCGACGTTGAACCGGCTCCCATGAATGAGGAATTGCCCACTTTTTTAAATTTTATTTATTACTGTGACGCAGTAAAGTAGTCTTTTTATGTGTAACACAGACTAAGTAAGCAAGCAATTATATTAAATAAATAATGCTTAGCATTCATGTAATAACATAAAAGTTATTGAAAGGGACACATTTTTGGACGTTATCTGAAAACGACCCTTTTACCTATTATTAAAGTAATGTATCCAAATTAACACCTTTGATAAGAAATTTAAAATAAATTATTATTTTCTATAATCTGTTAGTAGCGATATACTTAGTTCATTGAGCACATTTATTTTTACATATCAAGAAAAATTTTGAAATTTCGCTTAGGTCATTAAATATAATGTACTAATTCAATAAAATATCAAATATCTCGTAAATAAATTAGTGATTTGGCGAACTTTTTCTTCAGCTTGAATGAACATGGGAAAGCGCCTGACCCTTCTCGCAGCGCTTCATTGAACACGTTAGATGCGTTGCTCTAAATATTCTGTCAGGCGTTAAAATGTGAAACGCAAAATCAATTTATGTTTAGTGTTTAGCACTTTTAGAGTAAAGGCGTTATTACGAAACCAATATCGCCGCCAAGTTTTGACGTATCTCAGTCTCACGGAAAATCTGTTTTTCACCGTTAAAACATACGAATGCAACCTCTTTTTAAATTGATAATGAAAACGATATTACCGGTAGTGAGTTATGAAACACGATTGAGTAAACTTCCCTCGATAAAAAAAAGACACAAAATTCTTCAAAATTTTCATTTTTTACTACGGTCATCAATAAAAAATCAGTTTCATTAGATTGTTATTGGAAATTAATGATTTTTTTTATCCCATGTTCCGTAATAAATACGTCAAGGGACTATAGGCTTATTTTACCGTAAGAGAGTATATTTTATTTCTGAAAGGCAAACGTTTAAATAGATTTTGTTACCAAGTGACGGAAAGAGCAAGTCGTACGCCTGGTGGTAAGCGACACGCCTGTCCATAACAGTCACAGTGCCACACAGAGCTTTAAATCACAAAGATATAAAAGGCATTGCCACTGCGCGCATCACCCTGAGACATAACTTGACAAGTCCCATGTGCTTGTAATTTCGCACCCTTACCCTTTAAAACCGAATAGAATATAATACCATTCTAGCCCGGAAATCGAACCCGGGACTTCTGCGTGGTAGACCAGCATAGTAACCGTTCGGCCACGGAGGCAGTTTGATGTTGATTGATTATGTTTTACCATGGTTTTACCTCTCTATAAGTTCAAACGGAAAGTAACAACTGTTCTATGGGTTTTGTGTGTGTTATATTAAGAACGAACTTAGGAGTTCGTTCTTGATATAATAGTTTGATTCAAAAAAGAGGGGAGTTATGAATGACTTCAAAGAAAAAGAAGGAGGTTCTCAATTCGTCTGTACTTTTTTTTGTGTTTACGTAAGCGATTAGGTACTCCCGCATTTGTGAACCGATTTTGGTGATTCCTTTTTTGTTGGAAAGAGGGTAGCTCAGTATTGGTCCCACTCCATCAATCAATCAGCCTATTTTTTGCAGTCAACTGCTGGACATAAGCCTCCCCAAGTGTACGCCAACGCCAACCGGAATCCGCTCGACTGCATCCAAGCGTCGACGAGCGTCGATGCCCCTTTCCATATTTGCATAACACAAATTTGTACCTTAATAATGGGAAAATAGAGATGAATATACTATAGGCGAAAAACATGATGCGTCGCAACGCTTCGACTATGCGCCAGTGTGAGTTGTGCCTAAGGGCGACAAACAAACTACGAAATTAATCCGGTTTCGCGCAGCATGTAATTCCAATAAAAAATCCGATAAGCAAACTTTTGAAGTCTGTTTTTTTTTTAATAAAAACGTTATATATTCCCACTTCTTTTGGTCCGCTAAATGTTTGTGTAGTTTGTTGGATTAGAGAATTTTATTTATATACTCATTGACTTACAATTATATGGACGTCCGCGCTAAAAAATGTCCGAACTTATAGGGCGTTAAAATCGTATACAGAGCGTCATTCACGCTTTTGTCTTCATTTGTTCGACTGACAGCGAAGCAAGCAAAATTAGACAGTACTGCGATGACATTACAATTTAAATTCAACGTTTTAGCTTTTTCATATTCCTTTAAATGTCACTACTTTTAAATAGGTTGACTTAGGACATTTTTTTTCGTGGTTTTTGCATTAGACCCGTCGTCCATTTATTTGTAAGTCAATGTATACATATACTGTAATAAATGAGGTAATATGTAAAAAAAACTTTAGTACTTGATGTTGAATGGAAAAACGTCTTACAGCAAAGTTTGCAGAGTCGACTTACATTTTCTAATAGTCACTTCGCCACTGGTAACATTTCTAAAGAAATATTTAGGCTTATTGTTAAGAACGTTATTGAAAATATTGAAACATGCCATTCCTTTTCATGTATTCCCTTTGAATTTGCTCGTGTGTTGCTATCTTTGTCTACACAAACATGGCTGACTTCCGGCGTGTACCGGAAACAGCATTGGCGCAGGAAACTTCGTCGTCGCCCGATTACTTGCATTGACAAAGTAGGTTAGGAACACTATAGT